GGGTTTAACCTTGGAATAGGAAGAAAGGAAAAAGAGAAATTTCAAGACTTCTTTCTCAGATCTACGGAGTTCTGTTGGTCAGAATTCTTCAGGCCAAGAGTTAAAGTCGATCTATGCAACGAGGGCTATGCCTACATTCTAAAAGGAAGGATTTCACCAAAGTTTTGAAAATGAGATTTTGGGAAAAGCTTGGATTAGAGCTTGGATTGTGTTCTTGGAGCCTTTTACGGTTGTTTTACGCTTTGAGAGGTAGGGTTTTCCTCCTAACTAGATTTATTTCCAACCTAGGATGAATATATGGAATGGATGGGCTGTTGTGTGTATTTAACACTTGCCTATGGTAGTTGATTTAATGGAAATGGGTGGATTCAATTCTAGTATGTGTTGGTAATTACAAATTGCTAGTTTGTGATTTCTTGAAAATTTTGATAATGGGGTAAGTGATGAATTTGGGCATTTTATGTGATTACATGATTTGGTGCCTTGAAGGTGTTTGATAAAATGCCTATGCGAAATAAAGTGTGTTAATTGCATGAGATTACGTGATAACATGCTCGGGCATTGTTGTTGATATGTTGATATATGTTTGTTCATTGACATTATGATGAATTATGGTAATTATATATTTTTGATATAAATTTCCATAGATTATGTAGATATGTGGTTAAATGGTTCATATAGCACTTGTACATATTGAACATGACATTGATGTTGCAATTACACATTACATTACATTTGCACAGAGGCAACACATTCATGGGCATGAGGTATGAGTGTGGGTGTGTGTGCATATTTGATCACACACCATTATTGGTGAATGATTCATGGGCTCAGTATAGTTGGGCCGAGGTTCGATTAAGTCATGTGGTTTGCATTGAAAATAGGGTTGGGGTTAGTAAGAAGGGCTACAAAATTTCCTCGAGTGCAAGATCTAGTGATTGGGATATGCACTCTCTTGGTTCAACCCATAAAGTGTGTGGGTGTACACAGAACCCTTGATGGAAGCCCATGAATTTCATGTGGGTTGGGTAACCCTTGGTGTAAGTCCATGGATACCCACCCCAAGAAAGACCCAAGATTTATGATGTTCATTTGATGTGCAACATAAATGGCGGATTCATACACATTGGTATTGCTTTGTGTTGTAAGAGCCGGGAAGGGCTCGGGTTAAAGTGCATGAGTGAGTCTCACCTCATTTGATGGCATGGCATGGTAATTGCCAACATTGAATTGCGTATTCTTGATTGGAATGTTTTGCAGTTTGTTGAATGTTGCATGTGAACATTTCATATGCACTTAGGTTCAGGAGTGGCTTCTTTAGGAAATACCCTATTGAGCGTGGCTCACCCTTTATGGGAAAATATTTTAGGTACGGGTTATACAACGGTGGACGGCTCGTATTTGGGGCCTCAAGGATAAAAAAAAGCCGACTTGTGGCTTTTAACTCACGTTTTGGAAAACTATTGTCAAAAACTATGGTGTTGTAAAGCATTCAGTAAGTTAGTTTTTGGGCATGTAATGTATGTAACAGAATTGTAATCGAATTCATATGGACTATTTTTAATGTAACATTGCATGCTGTTATATGAGTATGGATAAATGGAACTGGTGTGATCAATGTTTACTCATTAATGGACCCGGTGTAGTCAATGTTGTATGATTGCACAAGTTGTGTTTTGGGTAGAGCTCCCCGTATAAAGGAGACTCTGCCTGAATTTTGTTAAATTATGGATCACGCTAAATAGAGCATAACGACATAATATCAAGTTACACGGTTGACTTGATTCGAAATGTGTACACCCAAGTGCAGGCGATCAAGTTGTAGTAATAATCCGGTTAAGATTGGTGTTTTGAAGTAAGCAATAATAGAGACCAAGTAACTGGAAATTTCGAGAGTTTGGAGTGGTGGGGTTCTTGAATAGAATAGGAGATTCTTTTCAAGAGTTTTCTAGACAAAATATAAGATTCTCAAAATGTAACAGCCACCCTTTAGCTTGAGGATCAAGACATGTAATAGACTATCCGGTTTATTATGTTTGTGCTTTATAACTCAATTAACTCTCGTGTCAACAGCAAGTTAATCAGAAGATAAAAATAGATTGTGAGAATTAAGCACATGATTCTGATACCTTTCTAGAAGTTTACAAGAATTGTCTGTGCCGAGACTTAACCCGCCTACAAACAAGTAAGTGTTTCTACAAGGCATCCAACCATAGCATTAAGGGTCCATTCTTTGAATAAAGCGTAATAATGGTGGAGATTAAAAGGTTGTTAGATGAAGAGCTAGTTGAGGTGCTTGCCTTGAACCAACGGGTCTTTCTATGCAGGAGTCATCCGTATCATAGAGAAAGCCCTTGGTTATACAAAGTACCTCAACTTTGCTAGGTGTATTCAACCATCCATTGAACATGTGAAATATAAAACATTAAAGCATGAATGAGTTGCACAAACATAGCTTCTGGATAATCTTTACATACTCATCACCTCTTACTAAAGAGTGAATGAGGAACTACTCACTTCTCATGGCCTTGGCAAAGCTAGAAAAGTGAATGCTACTCATCCCTTTAAGTAGAGGAGCTACTAAGTGAAGCAAACTAAACAAAAGCTTATCTTCAATGAAGAATAATTGAATCACTTTCCACCCTTCACGGCTTTGGTAAAACTCTAAAAAAGTAGAAGAGTTTCACTCTTCTAAGAAGGAAGGATGTTCAAGCAATGGAAGTAAAATACATGAACAATAAAAGTAGACGAAAGTTAGTTACTTTTGGAGGGTTTTCACCACAACCAGAAAATGAACTATCTCTCTTGATACTTTGTAAATAAAAGCAAGTACAACTACAAGAGGAGTCTAAGCCTCCATTATAGTTGTCACAACATGAATGTAAAGGCTTAGCATAAGTAAATAAAAGACTTCAACTACAAGGGGAGTCTAAGCCTCCATCATGGTTGATATAAATGCAAAATGAAAACATAAACATGAAATGTTCAAGAGCTAGATTACTAAAAACTCTCTACTTTACAAGAGAAAAGATTGCTCCCCTTTTACTCTACAAGAGGAAGAATGCCCCTTTAAGCTCCCAACATGGGAGTATTTATAGGCAAGGAAGGGCAAAGCGGGGAGGGTGAAGGAATAGTGTTTGTCGCCCAAGTCCAAGTGAAAAGCCAACAACTCTACAACCAGTCAGTGGGGGACGTTCGAATGTTAAGTCTGTCTTTTCTTTGAATTGTACATCAAATTATATTTTATAATTATTAATTTTTATTTTTTTAAATAGATTGATTATATCACTTATAATATTATTATATTATTGTATACAAAAAAATAAAATATTACATATTTGATGGTAAAATTCAATCTGGTAACTTCATGCATAAAATAATTTTACATATATAGGATTTTTATTTTTTCATATAGATATAGAAAAATATATATAACTGTATTACTTATAAGTTTAAAGCAACTTAGAAATCTTAATAAAAGAGTCTAAAACAAGTTAAAAGTCAAATAAGAGTAAAATACAAAAATTAGATGAAAGTATGTAAGTATAATTGACTTTATTATAATAATTAAAAATAAAATAAAAAATCAAAAGTTTTTTGTAGATGCTGACATTCACAATTTAGCATAAAATTTACTAAATGTTTAATAATCTTTCATCCTCAAAGTCTCGATTTGAGATGTGTATCTTTGGAGTAAGACATCTTCACGGTGGAGGTCCCTTTGTGAGAAACAATCAAGATGTCAAGATGAGTTGCATGTTCAGATCACAAAATTATCCTGCAAACTAGAGAGGTTAGAAGTGCAAAAAATAAATGAGGTATACAGTGTGCCGAAGATTGTAAGTAGTATAGATACTTCGCTACAATGAAAGTAAGGGTAAATTATATCACCTTCCTTGAGGTTTGATCAAATAGCAACTAGACCCTCTCTTAAATGGAAAATAACACAGAGTACCCCTGTCAGTGACATTCGCTTAATTAGACACATGAGAAATACCAAATGAAAATATTACCCTCAATCTAGTCAATATTTACCACCTACCCACCCACCCACAAAACCGAAGAAGCTCTGCTTTCCCCTTTGGGCAATGACCACTGTCACTCTTCCCCACCCCAAAGTTCCCTCCACCCAACAGCCACCTCCTTCTTTCTTCTTCTTCTCTCTCTCTCTCCCCCCATTAATACATAACCATACAAAACTCCCTCGAACCCACCTACTTCACCATCACTTAAAACCATTTGAAGTGGGTGATGGTTTGCGGTGGTGTGGATTGAAAGATTGAAATTGGGTTGGGTTAGAAGTGAATTGTTGAAGCGGGCTTTGTGAGAGAGGATAGTGAGAGAGAGGTGGGGAATGTGAAGAGAGTGGCCTCCATGGTTGAGAAATGGGAAAACAGATGAAGGGGGTTATGCATAGCATTAGTTCAGTGCTAGTTTGGTGCCTCGGCATTTTTCCAATAGACTTGAGCCCCACAAGGGGCAATGTTGAATTTTTATAACAAATATCTTATAACATCATCTAGAGACTAACATCCCCTTGACGGTCAAATATCGATTGGGGTAATCTGTCTCACCAACATTGGAAGGGAGGGCAATATTATTCTCCAAACAAGAGGAAGTCTAGTTACTTGACCAAACCTCAGGGAGGTAGACATAATTTACCCCTGAAAGTAATGACATCTCCCGTACCTTGCTTTTGGCTTTGAACTCTCAATCATCTCTCCCTACACTCTCTTCCATATATGCACTAAAAAAATGAAAATTTGTATCTGAACAACAATAGTGATTAAAGAAAAGAACAACCGACATTAAGCTTTCCCAAAATTTGGAAATTCAAATCAAAAAAGAGAAAAAAGAAACAGAGGAAGGAAGCCAAACAAGAATACACAATTTGAAGACGTCTACAAAATATTTGGCAACTGAGAACCTAATCTTTGTTGCAACTCCTTCACCTTCAAGGAGAGTTCAGCCTTCTGCTCTTTGTAGCTCTGCACCACGAATTACTTCCCTTCTATCACTTCTTTCAAATCCTTCAGTTCCCTTTTCAGCATCTCAATCCTCGCTCCATCTCTTCTTCCCTTTTCTGAAGCCAGCAAATTGCTCTCAACGTTCAGATGCCCACCATTAGCATGATCATTTCTCCCCTCAGATGGCCACACTGTCGAGGGCATATTATTGGAACCCACTTGTCCAACACAATGATCTGCAATTTCCTTCCTCAGCCTTTGAATTTCTCTCTGTGAATCAAATAGATCCATGTTCGCTGCATCCACCAGTGATTGCAGATGGGTAGAATGGGAAAGCTGAGTGCAGAGAGAATTCTGTAATTCGACAAGCTGATCCTGCATCTCAAGTATCATATCATCCCTTCTCTTCAACTGTTGTCTCAGCTTTTGGATCACTTCTCGCTTGCTAAAGATGTCAGAACCGGATTCAGAGATACATGGTGAGTCAGAGCAGTTTGAATGGTGGAATGGCTTCTCTGGCAGTTCAAGACGTTGAGGAGAGGATGACCATACCACACCATTCTCTTTACCAAATTGAGGGGCAGGAATTGTCACAAGAGGGAGAGCCATATCAGGTTCTGCCAGCAATTGGCCATTCTGTTGCGCTCGATCTCCACCGTACCTTCAGTTCCTTTTTCAAAAAACCATTTACCAAATGCATTACATGAAACCAATATACAATAATATATGCCCCCCCCAACCCAAAAAAATAAATAAAAAAAATAAAATTGAAGAAACATTCATGGCAGCCAACCAAAAAATTAGTGTCATTTTGCTGAAAACCCATTTCAAACTTTGGCATCGTGCTAGTGCGCAATGGCTTGCCCACAAATAAAAGCAATACACTCAAACTTAGGTGAAATGCATGTTATTGTCTCAAAAACACTGGAAAAAAGTGTAAAAGGGAAAAAAACTAAAACAAGACTCTAATAAGAGTCAAAACCTCAAAAGGAAAACCACCTAATTGCCAAAATGCAAGAAACTCAAAAACCAATAAATTAATTCTGTCAAACGAGCTAACATGGCACCATGTGCTACAAAGCTATACTCCTACAGCTTTGTAGCAGGGAATGGCAACTTTCAACAAACCAAGGAATGGTAAACACAAGAGAATTGAGATATGTTATTTTATTGATTTAGGGATTTGATTATTATTTTTACAATTGTATAATATTTACAACGTGATTATTTTTACTTACTGCCTTAAATTACTTCATTGTGTTAATGAATCAGATTGCACTCGGAAATCACTCAACTTCGTATTTTTCTTGCTAACCCCTTCTCTTCTCTTTCTTCCTTCTCTCTTTTCTCTGGTTTTGTCTTGCTCCCTAGTTCTTTTATTCTTTTCCCTCTTAATCTTCTTCTCTATTTTATCTGTTTCTATTCTGTGGACCGACATCGACTAGTATCGGAGCCTAATTATCAATCCATCTTGCTTCTGCTGCCAATCGTCAATAAAGTTCCTACTCAAGTTAAGCAATGTCACCTTTGTTCTTCTGGAAAAAAACCATAGTAGATGACCAGGATTTCCCACTCATTTTGTGGTTGTTGCCTGGCTTAGATATTGGCTTCATCGGCATCATCTCCCACAGCATCAAAGCAGTCACTGCCATCACAATTCTCATTCTAGTGGATTGTAGACTTGTTACTGGAGAAATAATTCGGTCTCACACCAGATCAAGTTGGCACAGCCATGATCAATAACTTCATCATTAACATTCGCATTATCTCCCACATCTGAACCATCTTGTTGTTGTCTGCTAGGTATGCAGCTTTTGAGCAGTCATACAAAGAAGAATTGTCCAATCGCTTTACTCTTTCGTCATGGTCAGATTGATGCTTGATCGCCATCTTGTTGCCACTGGCTGCTCAAATCCCTTCACATTCGAGAACCGAATCCACCAGAATAGACCCCAGCTGGTTATTCAGTCCACTGAGAAGAGTTTGCCCAAGATTATTCTATAACATTTTCACCAGGAGCCCATTGAGCCTTTTCTTCTTTTTCAGATAAGGGTCGTCTTGACATTGTTCTGTAGCATTCCCCTCACCAGTTCGTGGATCATATTCGTTTTTTAAAGCATGCCTATCCTTCCAAGCATTATACTCTCAGCACCATAGCACCACTTTGAGCTATCCATAAGCTTGGACTTAATGTATTTTCCTTGACTATCCTTGGACTATAAAATACTAGTCCAAATTTCTTGGTAAAGGACATATCAATTAATCAAAATTATGGGAGCCTATTATAAAGTTGTAGTTACAAATGGTGTTGTTGCCTTTGAAACAACGTTTCTTGAGCTTTCTCCACATCTATCTTCTAGATTCTGATCAATGATGCAATTCAGAGTTATGATAATATTTTTTCTTGGTAATTACCAGTGTTATTTGCTCGAAATGGTAAAATTCTTCTGATGCTCTGATCCAAACTGCTTGGAGCAATACCACTGGCCTAATTTTGTAGCGGATAGTTTTCCTCGATGGAGGATCATTGATTGGAAAGCAAGAGAACTGGACAGCTTGCATTAAATATTAATAATAGAAACTCAATTTATGACTGTTTTATTCTACTATCTTGGAAATTAAAATATTATGCAGTTTTTAATTTTGATCTTTTTTTGGGGACTACCTATAAGCATAAGCTTTTATGAAATGATGATTTAGCTTTGGCAATAAATTGAATTCAGATTCAATTTATCTCTCTTCCCTCACATCTATTTCTGTTCCTTTACCCTTCTCTTCTTCTTCTCTGTTCTTTCTTTTCTCTTGCTACTCTCCTCTTATCTCTTTGTTAATAACTGTTCTGCATCACCAGCTCTTTTCTATTTCTCATTCCCCTGTTCTTTATTTATTACGACATGCAAATAGACTGTGATAGGGCATTATATTGTTGCAAAGTCAATGCATAGTAACAAGCATCCATCTTTACAGATCTAATGTCTTAACAAAACTATAATACAAAGAATATGTTAGCTGCCAAGTATTAGCAAAGTACTACTGTGAACAATTCAAAGAAACATTATTTTTTCTAAAGTAGCTCAAACTGAAACTTCACTTCTTTCCCATTTTCTCCTCCACTACCTAAATTTAAATTTTGTCATACCAAGAATATTTACCCAAAAAAGGGAGCAAGTAATTCAATGAGAGTGCATTATAAATAATTAATAAGCAGCATTACTGCAAAATTTCCAGTACCCAGCTACAGCTAATCATGTTTCACCTCAAGTATTGGATGATTATCAGTTAGAAAGTAGCCAATAATAAGAATAAGTGCAATGCAAACTCAAAAAAAACTGTCTCTAACCAACTGAAGATGAGAACCTAAGAAGGTCCAAACCTGAAAGGCAATTGAAGCAGCCACCCTCATCTTGGGTAAAACAGTACACATTTGAATGCGAACGGTGGTTCCCTGACTTCTGTCTGCTGACATATTTTCCACACCCTGCATTACAAACACGTCTTCAAGCTCAGAGCAGGAATAGACTCGAGACAACTAGTGAATTCTTTGCATATTACAAGACCTTTCAAATCATTGCTAGTATGGTCTGGTTGCTTTGTGTCAAGCAATTGCTTCAGCTTGTAACCCAGGCTAACTGAAAAAGTACTTAACAAGGCACCTCCTGCAATGAGGACCCAATTTGGACTGTCACCCTGAAAACTTTTGTTTCCTTGAGTTCTAGGCACCACATTGCTTCTTCGTTTCTTTTGCACAGGGGACAAGAAAAATCTAGAGCATCCAAATAAGCCCTAAACTGAAATACACCATAAATCCATTTCTATCGACATGACGCACACATTAGATCAAACTGCATCAGGAGAAAAAGGCATGCTTAGTGGCTTTAGAGTATAGTGTCCATATCATGTGCATAATCACAACAGAGAATTACCAGTACCCAAACCACATCAACGTGAGTCTTAAAAATGGTTGGGTTTTGTGCATTTGGCTTTATGAAAAGGGACCGCGGATAAAATTTAACAAAAGTACATCGAATGTTACGTAGAACAAGCAAAACACTATAGCATTGCTAATTTCACATGAAATTGAGCGATTAGATTAAATCAACAGCAACAAAACTAGCGGATAGGTGTGGAGTGTGGATGACAGTGGGTGTACGGAACACACATTGGAGTAAGAGAAGTTGTGTAGATAGAGAGAGTGAAAGAAGACGAAAAAGAGAACGCCTGACCTCTTCTTTTGGTCCCAAATCGATCCTCGGCGGCTCTTGACCGTCGTCTTCGTTGCCTGGTGAGAGTGAAAATACATAAAGAATAGGCAAAGAATGTTTAGGGCTGTAGAATTTTAGTTTGTAGGGTGTAGGACGTCAATGGACCGAAGCGAGGCCGGGGTATAGTCTTCATCCCCGTACCTGTTTAAAAAACCTTCGTTCATCTCCGGTCCACTCCCGCTAACGGATATAATTTTCATCCCTATTTCCGTTCACAGATAAATTTATAATCTCCGTCCCCGCTTCCCCCGTACCCGCTCAAGCCCAAGCCCAAGCCCAAGTTCAAGCCAATATTTGTTAACACCATGAATCACATTCAAATATTTGTTAAACTTTTCTACTTGATCAACCATATGTAAAAATCACTTAAGTAGAAATGAAAACAAACAATAAACCTCAAAGAAAGCAATGACCCAAAGTTTGTCAAGATCATGGAAGTTTATGGCAATGATGTTGGGATGTAATAGTGGCCAGTGAACATAGTAAGTAGACATAGAAGGCAGCACAAGCAACTTTCTTCTATTTTAAACATTCAAGCAATAGTAATGTATATTCTCAATATTTGGTACAATGATATTCTGGAATTGAGGATCCAGAAGCCATTAAACACACAATTTCACTCATAATGTCAAACCATAAAGAAAGCATAAACACCAAATCAGATTTATAGAGCCTGGTTTCAAATTGACAAACATACAAACATATTTGAATTCTGATAGAGAAAGAGGAGAGTAGTAAGATAAGGCCCTAGGGCTTTAAGCCTTTAACTGGAGTTTATTTATTTATATATATATATATATATAACGGGGACGGGGCGGGGTAGGGTTAAGTCCATCCCCACACGGGTTTATACGAGTATCCCCGTATACGTCCACCGTCCAATACGTATAGTCCATCCTAGGTCCAAACGGGACGGATTTTGACGAATACCGGTTTTTTTCCGGTCCACTGACATCCCTAGTAAGGTCCGGGGAGGAAAAAATAAAGGAGAAAAATAACCGTTACCCAGTAGTGTCACATAAATCTATATAATAAAATAACTTACAATTTAAATTTTAAAAGATAAACAAAATAACTTTTGTTATTCGCGGTTGAAATCGCTTTAAATTTTACTTTAAAATTAATATAACGGCTAATATTAACACCCTAAATTTAATAGGAAAAATAGGTCTCTAAGAGTGTTTTTGAAGTGACTTTTTAAAAATACTTTTAAAAATTATTTCTCATAAATAATTTTTTTTTTAAAATAGTGTTTAAAATCTCACAACCACTACCTCTACCACCACTGCGGCCACCGCCGCCGCCACCACTATCGCCACCATCAGTGCCGCCACCATAGTCATTGTCACCCACCATAACCATCACCGTCTCCTACCGCAACCACTGCCGCCCACCATTTCTCACCCCCACTACAAATTAATGTTTAAATTCTTTTTATCTCTTATCTATGTTTGTGATTTGATTTTGGATATAAATACAAATATGTTTATTATTTTTCATTTTTTATTACTTCGTGCCTTCAGGCACAGGCAATAACTAGTAAATAAATAAATCAGCAAATAAGTATACTAAAACTTATAACCACTTAACCATATCATAAATAACTATTTCTATGATTAAAAAAATGAGCCTTAGTTTATATTTTTATTATTAGATGGAGGAGAAAATATTTCTTACGATGACAATGATGACATAGTATTACTATTGCATCAAATATTTAATTCATTGTGAGGAGTAAATATTGAATGTAATGGTGATATTGATGATATGGTATTACTAACTAATAATAAATCCTTAAATGAAAAAGATGAATCGCACTTGAGCTTACATAGTAAAAAGATGAGGAATTAATTAATTACTAGTTGATGCACACGTGCGTTGTACGTGGATAGTTTTGAATTATAATTGAGTTGGTGTTGATAAAATAGAGATTGAAATTAAAATACTGTTGGATTTTTATACTAATTTTTTTTTTATCAATTTTAAGAGTTTCGTTGTAGATATATTGCCTTAGATAGCAGCAACAATCACCGATTGACCTTTGTGCCAAGACGGAGCATATGGTTGGTCTTAAACTTTTGGCACGTTTAATTTATTGATTACATTTCTATTCATAATAATGTCACAGATGCTTAATTATTCTCTATAGAATTTTTATACCTTCCATGGATCAGAACGTATAACATTTGCCTTTTACTGTTTGTGGACGCGTCCAGATGCTATAGCTAATAAGCATAGGCACAACAAACCAACTCAGTCTCCTTCTTTCCCTCTGGGGTGTCAAATCAGATCTTGACACAAACAACAACCTATTTGATTTGAAACTCAATCTAGAACACTCTAAAAGAAGTTTTGAATCTGAAACTCTTTTAAGTTTTCAAGGCCAAAAAATATAGTAAACAATAATAAAAATAATAGGATGACTCAATTTAAGAATCGTAGGCTCAATTTACAGCTACCAAAATCAATTTATTACTCTAAAAAATAAATAGAATTTCCAAATTGTTTCTAAAGTTTAATTCATTATGACCAATCCAACTATTGATGGAATAGATAAAATTATGTGTAGTAGATGCTTTGAAACGCATCCTTTTGCTTTGGCTCGCTTACAATTTGTGTACAGATTGCCTAGGGACTGTCGAGACCTATAAATTATAGAAACTGACTTGTGAATACTAAAAATGAATACAAAATTAGTGTAAATATATAAACTACGCATGCAAAGGGAATTATAACCAAAAAACCAGACATAAGCAGAGTAACTCCACATTTGACAACATAAAATTTAAAACTCAATATCCAATGTGCAGGGTAATCAAAAATCAATTAAAGCGACATATACGTATAAATGTGCTATTTGAATGCCACAAAGGTATAAATATAAGTGTTAATTTGAATCCTGAATTTGTTCATTACTCATCTTTCGAATGATTGGTCTAAGTATATATTACACCGTACACTCGTAATCGACAAAATGATGATAACAAACGTGCATTTAAACAAAAAATTTTAAGTATAATCATCTGAATGATAATAACAAGCATGCAGGAGTACATTGAACAAAGAGAAATGATCATAACAACACTCCTTGTACCTAATTTGGGACCTCATGCATTGTGGCCTTTAGAGCAATAATGGATGACCCACTACAAATCTAAGCACAATGCATTAGATCCTTAAATTAAGTACCAAATAAATGAAAGACACTAAAGAATTGAGTTTGATGAATGAATTTGAGCTTAAAAGGAAAATAGGAAGTGCTAATATGTAATCCACAAGTAAAACACGGGACTCAAATCACAAGATTAATCATACAAAAAGTAAGTTAGCCTCTAACAAACTATTATCATGTTAGAAATGAGTCTATTACGTACAAAAACAGATCTGGTGCACCACCTATCCTTGCATTGAAACTATCAATTAGATCATGTAAGGAAAAAAACTCAACCACATAAGCCACTGGCGAAGGAACCACAAACCTGAGATTCATAGACACAATATCAATCACCTTATTGGCAACCTAATGATCAAAGAGAATCAAATCCATAAATTAAATGCAACGGTAGTAAGTATTGCAATATTGTGATGAATACTACTGACAGATGCTTAAGAAAAGACACCTCACCAGCCTTGTCCATCCTAATTCCGGGGCAAATGAAACTCAAGTTGGTCATCAACCTTTCTCGTTAGTCAACCTGTCAAAGAGAATCTTATTAGACAGGAAGATGGTGATGGACAAAAATTAACAGAGAATGCGATGAGCTTAGGATAGAAACCAGAGAGGTGTTATTGGTATTAAGGATAATTAATACACATAAATTGATTCAGTGTTATTATTAAAAGAAGATGAAAGGATGTAAGGAATAATAGTTAGCTTAGTTTGCCACATTCTGTAACAGGGTATTTAAATGCCAAAACATAACACACCTAAGAAATAAAATTTAACCGTTATAAGGAGAAAGAGAGAAAGATTGTTGAAGGGGTGAATGAAGTAATGTTCAAGATCCACCACTTCTCAATTAGATCAAAATACATATAAAATAGCTTAGACAACAAATATTAATGTCTCTTAAGCTTACAGGTCATGAATGACAGAAACATGAAGGGGTATTCATAGGTAGGCCTCATTATTCAACTAAACTAATTAGTAATTACATTGTTCCGGAGTAAAAAAGAAAAATAAACATTTTTCTGCTATACTGACATTTTATATACAAGTATAAATATAGATATGTATTATTGGAGTTGGAACTGTGCATGCATCCAGAAAAACATATTTTTTGGAGAAAAAGGGTCAGAATTATCAAAAATAAGAAATTGATGCCAATAATATAGTAGATGTTTTGAAACGAAGGGTGAAATATAACTCCTAGTCTCAACTTCTCAAAAATTCATTTGTACTTGGCCAAAAAAATTGTTGAAAGAATTCTTACCACAAAAATTGTTGAAAAATAGGAGTGTTTCAATTAGCACTTGTTTTGGAAAAATATAGGTATTAAGCCACATACATATGAAAGGTCAGGCTATTTTTTGATCATCTGAAATTATCAGATTGAGTGTGCTTCTGTTAATTAAAAATTCTGTCATTAAACAACAAAGTGAGGCAAAATTTTTGGCCGATAAACTAAATTGAGCTCCCTACTCCCTCTAACCAAGAAAGTATACATATGTGCATTTCTCCAAGAAGAATGAACTTCTTAACCTGTAGCATTAACAAGCACCAAAATTTCACATGGACAAGCATATCTCAACAGTTTGAATACATTAAATCTTTTGCAGAAGCTAAACAAAAAAACCATGGACTCATCTTAATATGTCACAACCTGCCTTGTGTTTTGTAACAGTCGGTTTTCAAAGCTATACGCAAGTAGGGTGATCTAGCTTTTCTATTTGGTACAATGCATAGATGTATAAAACCAAAAATCAGCATAATACCTGGAACAACTATCATTCAACCGGTGAACTTGGACATCAACTATTTATAAGCCCCAAATTATTGGACTTATCAACAAACAATAGAAGATAAACCAAAGAACACAACAAAAAGATAATGGAGAGAGAGAGAGAGTAGGATCCTCAAAGTCCTTCAGTTAGATCATTGAGAAGCTTTTAAGAGCACTGGAAAAAAGAGACACCACTTCCAAACCGGAAATTTGGGTTTATCACATCTTGAAGTTGTTGAAGATTGTGATGATCTAAGAACCCTGTAAACCAAAACACCTAAACCAAATCAGAGCCGACCTAGAACAGAATACCAAACCAGAAACTAAACATATGATCATTATAGCTATATTAAACCACATACAGAATACCTAAATTTTTCTAAACAATGGTTTTGATTTGTCCATGAGTCTTTTCTGCAATGGACTCACTTCCATCCCTTGCTTGCTTTATTCTAATCTCTGCGTCTCTAGAAGCAACTCTAAGCAGGAAAATTGGATGACAACTTTCAACTTCTTGTTACTGACCAGTGCCAAAATATCTTCCATTCACCAAAAGTAGCATCTGCCATTGTTTTTTGTTTTGAGATCTCCGAATGATATTTGGGATTGGATTAAAGACAAGAAGAGTTCAGAAGCCTGACAGTTTCTCCGAGAGCAAATTGATAACCGACACAATTACAATAATATTAATGAATTTATTAATTAAAAAAGATAGAATTGTCATTCTTCATTTTGTTAAGCCTAATTTAGTCCATTAAAA